AATCCAGAATGTGCAAAAGTGGTGGTTCTGTAAAAAAAATATAATTCTTGTAGAACACACTATCATGATGCCATGAAATTCCTCACCGTCCTAGCTGGTGATGATAGTCCTCATCAATGTTCCCTCTAATTTTCAACCCTACTTGGCAGGGTTCCCCCCCACATGTGCAACTTGCCCCTCATGTTGACTCTGTCCCCCCATGCAGAGTTCTGTTGCAAGTGAAACAAAAGGGGCTGGAAACAATCACTGTGGGTATGCAGAGGAGGAGGAAAGCTGCACAGAGGGGTGGGGTTCTGTGCACTAATGCAATCACACACCTTAGAGGGAACCTTTTTCCTGATCCTCGTATGCAAAGAGAACGCAAGCAAGGATTTACACCCCAGTCTGGTTTTCTCTCACATGGGACTACCCGCTCACAAGCTATATTTGCACTGCTGGGCAACCACATGGGGTTGATATTTATAACCTGGTGGAGAATATCAAGTAAATTACAAACCTATTCAGCAATTCCTTTCCAGAATCCAGAAGTAACTAGTTATATTTTGGATAATAAGTAACAAAACTAGTAATCAAAAAGTTACCTTTTGATATGAGTAACGCCTAAGTTGCTTAGGTATAACAAATGTGCACCTAATTATTTGTTAAATTATTTAAAAGGGCATTTAAAGGCATTTTCAGAGGGATTTTGCTGGGATCTTTCGAGATTTTATTCCATCCATTTAAGAATCTTAAGCAGCAAGGTCTTATCTTTCATAATTTTATATTTCTCAGTTGCAGCATCAGAATTATTAATTAGACAGAAGCAGAGATTATTTCATTGTTTTTTGTATGTGTGCACACTGGGAATGACAACATAAACACCTTAATATCACACAAGGCAACATATTACTTGCTCAGTTGGAACAAAAATAATGACAAGGGAACTCTGACTGCAGGGAAGTAATGAGTGATGCAAAGAGTTCCTTTTAAAATGTAGCATTCTGGGGTCTGCTCCTTTCATGTGTAGATTAAATACTTGAGGAGTTCCAATTCCTCCTGGCATTTCTATCACCACCAATATGTGGAAGGTAACAGCTCTTGTATCCATAGAAACCATCTACTATTGCCTTCTGGATACAGAGAGTAACAGACCTGGGGAAGCAGGATAGCCAAAATTCTCACATGCTTCATCAACACTCAGAGGGAACATCTGATATCTTCCTATGTTAACTGCAAATACAGTTATCTCACCTTATATTTCTTTCACAATTTCTGACTTCAGACCTATCTTTAGTATGGGGATGCTTTTTCTACGAATATTAGGTTCTCTCTCTCTTTTTAAAAATGGTACACCCTCTGTTTGCCCATAGCGTTAGGGATCCTGCAATTTTAAATGGCAAATTGCACTGGTACATGCAATTTGCCATTTAAAACACACAAATCTGTGTTTTCAAGCACTTTAACTGGGGCAAGGTACTCTCCCCGGCCATTCTTCCTTGTTACTCACTGTCTTGACTATGATATTTGTTGCTTATTTTCATTCGCTTTCTCACTTCATTCTCAGTCACAAAACAATCTTACGTAGGTTTACTAAGAAATAAATCCCACTGGCTCAAATCCTGCTGCAAATCCCACATGCATAACAACCGTTGTGCAAGTAGTTCTGCCACTGTGATTGTGAGTCATGCAGTCACTTATGCAAACAGAAGGCAGCCAGACATCGGACAGACAGACAGCACAGTGACTCTCGCAACTTGTGCAATTGCTTTTACACCATTGTATAATGCAGTAAGATTCTGGTCATTGAATCCAGTACCACTTCCTTCGAGGTTGTTATAGGATTGCAGCCTTGTTGTTTTGCTTACTTCCAAACTCAGGAGTTCACTTACTTTCTCTTTTGATTGTTCACCTCTCCACTTGTTTTCTAATTCAATTATTTACAGTATGTACTTATTCACTTACTGTATCCACCATAAAGGGGAATGAGGGAAAGGAGAATACTAATAAAGTAGAAATGCAATGAATGCAATAAAATCTAAATTGAATTAGAATGTCAAATGATTCTTGTGTGTTAAGGGCTGTCAAGTTGACTTGGGTGACACTGATAGGGTTTTCAAGGTATATGAGACGTTTATGGTATGGTTTTACCAGTGCTTCCCCCTAGTGAGTTTCTGTTACCCAGCAAGGATTTGAATCCAGGTCTCCTCAGTTTTAGTCCAGTTCTCTTTCCACTATACCACAACTATGTTACTTGAAAATGTGCATGCAAATAAGTAATGGAACTTGGACTTTCCATCTTTTCCCTACACATATAAGATATTAAAATAAATATTTTGTGGCAGCTCCTTGTGCTGGTTGTATTTCAGTTCTTGTATTAAATCACTGGTTTTGGTATCTGTCTGTGTGTCTGTTTTCTTTGAGGAGCTGAAGCGCTCCAGAAAGTAATTTTCTCAAGTTAACAAATATATCACTGGTTTCCCACATCCCATTTAAGTCTATAAATCAGTTTTCTTGGCCTTGTACAGTGATATCATATATCATATTAATATTGGTATAGACTTAAAAAATAAACTAGTCAAGAAAATTGTCAAAACCGTCATTGTTTCTCTTGAATATGAACAAAGGATAACAGAATATCTCTGATTTCACCAGGATCTAACGTAAATCCAGTACCACTTAATTAAGAAAGCATATAAAAATAAAATCTGATCAAATCCCCTCTCGCAGCTTGGAAATTTGGGCAAAAAGTACAATTCACTAAGATTTTAGTAACAGGACCCAAAATCTCTAATTTAGTTTAGATTTAACATTAGAGCAAATATATTTATTTTATATCATTTCATTTCTATCCCACACTTCTCGTAGTTGTTCAGGTGAGCCTGAAGATTCCCAGTTACCAGACATGACATAGTGGCTGAAATGCTGTTCCTAGCAGAAGTCATGCTGTAGTTTTCAGTCCATTCCTCCTTGGTAAACAGAGTGTAAAGGAGCATTCTTTGTTTACCAAGGCAGAATAGACAGAAAGTTACAATTTGGCTTACATTAGGAATAGGATTTCAGCCTCTGAGTAGTTACTGTCAATCTTGTAGGATGGCTCAGTTAGAAATTAAAAGACAAACCAGGGTTTTCAGGTGTGATGCATGCATTCAGTGACGGAAAATCAGAAATGAAAGAAATTAATCCCTTTTCCTAAATATTCCACCTTTGGTCTCAAAGGAATATGTTTCATACTTTCCTTGTGCAGTGGCTGCAGACTGCCATGTCTTTTCCTGTCAGTAATGCTATAAAGACTGTTTTGTGTCTCTGAACTCACATTTCTGTGCATTTCATGCACTGAATTGTATTCTGATGCTACACTCCTACAAGATCATAGCAGGAAATGTGATGTGGGCAGGAGGCTGCTGACAGAGATTCCCTTGTGGCAGAAAGAAGCAGTCACAAGGCTTTTTTTAAAGCTGCCAGAAGGAAAAATGGGAAAACCTCAGACACCTTGTACAGTTAATGTAAGCTGACATGAGAAATGCTTCCTTTCCCACAGCAGTAGAAAATCCCCCATCTTTGGATGTTTGTGGCCATGTGAAAGCAAGCAATTATTTTCTTTCAGAGTATGCTGCAGAATTATTCAAGCTGAAGTCTTCTCAAAATCCATTTTAAGATTTTGTTGGTGTAAATCTTGACTTTTAACACCATGTTGTAGAAAGGTTAGAATACAATAGTTAGGTAGCTAGACAATAAGCTTACTGTCTCTTTTAGAGGAGAATGTAAAGAATCCAGAACTCATGACTCCACCTAGATGCACCTAAACCCAGTGCTATCGATTGAATAAACTGTGGACACTATTCACAGAAACAAAAAGCACAAAATTTAAGCACTCACTTTCCTGGTTTCCATTTCTTATTCTTGTAACTTTTAATTTTATCTATTATAGAAGGGCCAAGTAGCTACACCAGAAAACAAACGTCCATATTGCTGAAGTACCATTATTCATGTTTGCCCTTAGTTTCTCAGTTTTGCAGTTCAAATTTTTTCTAATATTTACACATTAGACTGCTTTTAACGAAAGGAAGGAAGGAAGGAAGGAAGGAAGGAAGGAAGGAAGGAAGGAAATATTTTTCTTTTGGTCCCACCATCTTCATGTGTGTGTCTCATGGGGACATGGGAGAAGGCCTTCTCTTTTGCTGTTCTCAGACTTTGGAACTCTCTGCCACAGGAGACCAGCTTGGCCCCATCTTTGCTATACTTCCTCAAGCAGGTGAAGACCTTTCTCTTCAAGCAAGGTTTCCTGTAATTATTGACTGACTGAGTGGGGTTCTTAAATAGATTCTTGTGCCTGCATTGAATGTGTTTTGGTGTTGCTTCTGATTACCATCTTTTACTGTAGCATTAGTTTGATCTTTTTAAATATTTGTACACTTATTGTTTATAGGTTTAAATATTGTCTTTAAATGATATAAGCCGCCTTGAGTCCTTCTTAAGAAGAAAGGTGGGATAGAAACATTTTAAATAAATAAAAATAAATAAAGCTGCATGCATGTTTACTTACATGTTTGTTTTAAAATAAATATTTGAGTATGCAATTCTCTAGCCGCCTAGAGTGGTCGCAATGACCCAGATAGGCAGGGTATAAATCAAATAAATAAATAAATAAATCAACCCTGAGTGCTCACTGGAAGGACAGATCCTGAAGCTGAGGCTCCAGTACTTTGGCCATCTCATGAGAAGAGAAGACTCCTTGGGTACATCCATTTTTGAAAACTCTATTCTTTCATGGAGTGCATTCTTATATATTATTTTCATCAATGCATGCCTTTTTGCATATTTTGTCTTCTGGTATATATGCATTTTTTTGCACAAATGTTTAGATTGGAGAACTATGTCATAAAATTTGGCAAACTGAACATATCAAACGGTTACTGCACTTGATTGGTTTAGGAACTGTTTTTTGGTCACACCCAGGACACCCTTGGCACAATTTGGCTGAAACATATTCTAAGCTATTAAAGAGTAAACTTCAATCCTACCCGTAAAATGTCTTCAACACAACTGTCATCTCCTGTTCCATTGTCCTGTAAACAAAAAGACAACAGCTATAGTGAGAATTAACAAGTACAGTTCTTTAATATATATCTTTGGGCATTATGAATGTAACTCTAAAGTGAAAGTGTGTATCTTAAATCTGGGAAATAAAGGCACTTCACAATTTATTGCAATATAGTTTAGCTGTATTTTGAAATAATAACAAACATTTTACTCACAAACAAAAAATATGTAACACGCTATACAGCATGTACTGCAAAATTACACTGATGTCATAAATCCTGTCAACCTAGCATTTTGAAAGCATGTAAATGGGAGTAGATAAATAGGTACCACCACGGTGGGAAGGTAACGGCATTCCATGTCTAGTCGTGCTGGCCACGTGGTCGCACTGAATCTGTCAAAATCCTAACAAAAATATTCCAACAAATATGGAAAACTAAACAATGGCCCACAGACTAAAAAAATTCAATACACATACCAGTTCCCAAGAAAGGAAATGGTAAGGAATGCAGTAACTATAGAACCATTGCACTAATTTCCCATGCAAGCAAAGTGATAATTGGGGTGTTGCAACAAAGACATTTACTCTATATGGAGTAAAAAAATGCCTACTGTTCAGGCAGGATTCCAGAAAAGGAGCTATAGATATCCTGTTGCAAACATATGCTGGATACTGGAGTGTACCAAAGAATTTCAGAGGAAGATCGATCAGTCTGTTCTTTACAGAGTACAGCAAAGTTAGCTCATGAGAAGCTATTGATTGTTCCAAAAAAATTGGGTGTGCCTCAGCACTTGATCATCCTACATTGTGGACAAGAAGTGACTTTTAGAATAAAATACGGGGGGTGGGGTGGAATTAAGATGGAACAGAAGACCAAGAAAACTTTAAGAAGAATAAAATGTGAATTGTCAGTATGGTTTTACTATAGCTTCTATTAATTGTTGATTACAAAAATCTTGCACCAGAGGCACATACAGGATGGACTCATGGATTCTCCACCCCAAATTTCCCCCTCTCAAAATAGTCAGTGAGTTTTGGTTAGATGTGGATATGGATAGCATATACCTGGCATGCTTCTCTCCTGCCATTCTTTTCAGTGTTACATCTTACTAGCTAGCAAAATTATTAGCATATTTCAATCGCTACTTTGAAATATCCACGTCATGTACATTCAGCCAAGATTGCTAATAGCTACTAAAATGTGTATTTAATGCCACAATTGAGTTACTTTTGAAAAATCTCAAAACTAGGCAAAATTATGCAACAAACAAGGCATCTAGAATGCTATGCTATTATTCAAATCCAGCAAGCAGTGCTGGCATCATTACAACATATTATACTCAGTGGGATTATTTTGGAGGATTTCTTCACGTTAACCCCTCATTCTTGTGTTTCATGTCTGAGTAGGGTGTGCGTGTAATATGCATCTTGATTCTAGAGGACATCTATGCAAAAGCCAGAAAATGTGGATTCTAAATGGTCTGCTTTCCCCTCTCTCCTCCAATTTGGGTGAGTCATCCACTTTGTAAAGGAAGAATTCTTGCCTTTTAAAAGTCCTGCATCATATCACAGCTGACCTACTTTTCTGGAAGTGATGTCCTCCCCTCTAATTGACCTCAACCTAGACAACCTTTATGCAGTTCTCAGAAGAGAGCATTCTCTATGTGTGTAGGGAGTGGGGGGTGGTGGAGGAATGTTTTCAAGTCCCACAAGCCCTGACCATTTATTCCCACAGCAGTGTTGTTGTGAACTTCGAGATAAGATTCATCACTCAAAAGCTTATCAGTGCAGTGGTTCTACACTTTCAGCTGGGTTCAGAATGTTCAGAGATACTAAACTGCCCGAACTCTCTGAGGAAAAGGGCTTTTACTGCTTTGTGGATGGAAAATGCCAGCATGCACATTTCTTTTTTCTTCCTGTTGTGATTTCTTCCCTCCTGAAATGAAATAAAAGCTGCTGCCATAGCACACTGTGAAAAGGAAAGTTTTTTTTTGGGGGGTGTGTGTGTTAAATATTTGCTTCACATTAGCTCTGTGTTTACCATCAGAGCAACCCACAGCGGATGCAAAGGCTTAAAGCCCTCTTCCCTTCCTTGCCGGAGTTCCAATGCAGTTTTGAGACCCTGTGCCATTTTTTAAAAAAATGAAAACTCAACTGCAGAAGGTCAAATTTGACCTTGCTTGCATCAATTGTGTGTGTGCATAGATCTAACTTTGAAAACCTCAGAAATGTGCTGAAGGAAACCCATGGCTAAACACTGATATAAGCCACTTTGAGTGAATGTATGCGTAATTAACAGAGAGTAACACAAACTAAAATCAATAGGTCTTACTTCGGAATCAGTCCCTGATTAGGATTGTGTAGCACACAGTCTTAGCAACATGCTTTGATTTCAGTAGAACGTAGACAGCAACCCTATACCCATATCTACCTGTGAGTAAGTCCCATTGTACTCAGTGGGGACATACTTCTGAGCAGACATGCAATTTTTTGTGCTCTTGCTGCCTGGTATAGGTTCATACATTTTAGTTACTGCATTATTGATCAATTTTATAGCAAGTAATTTCCAGGGCTCGTCGGCGACTTGCTGTTTATAATCAGACCCCTCTAGGTAATAGGGAAAAAAGTGAGGGAGAGATAAAGGCCAGGTAGAGAATATTTTCCTAATTTAGCACCCCCCAAATGTGCTGGTCTACAATTCCCATAATTCACAGTGGACTAAGGGAGGTGGAGTCCAATATGTTTGAAAGGGTCTGGGGGGTAATATAAAAGGCTAATATGGAAAGTAACTTTTTACAGAACTAGAGAAGATACTGAACATAAAACCATACTCATGATTGATAGATACAGTAATAGAGAGGCGTCTTCCAAAACAACAGCTTAACAGCATCCTTGGACTGAGAATGTTGTAGAATTCAAGACTTGGAAACTGCCCTCTTGTATCTGTATTAGATTATGGCTTGGGATTTTGAAATTGTCAGTAAAAACCACTTAAGGTTGGAAAAGAATGGAAAACTCTTCAACCCTCTCCATATTTCTGGCAACATTGGAACACTTCATTATAAACAGTGGCCCTGATAATATTTCTTCTTTAAAAGGCCACTGGGACACCTCCAGCAATATGTTTAGAAATACTAGCCAGCCACTTCATAACTCTTTTAACATTTTATTCCTATAAAACATCCACTACAGTCCAGGAACAATAAGAGGAAGATGTAATGGACTGGAACTGTGTAGTTCTATTAATAAAATATAAGGTTTATTGTTATTGTGAAAGATTGATTGAACAAGATCAATACTTTGTCACAGTATATTAATGTTTTTTCTTTATGTATAAAAATGAATGTTGAGCTGAACACATTGTCTTGCCACAATGCTGGAAAATGGTAATAATTAAATTGCTACTGCAGACTGGAGAGCCATCCTGCTATATGCTGTATGACGTCCACCAGCAGTCTTTACATGCTTCAAAAGCTAAGTATCTCAGAAGCTAGCATTGAACTGTTTGGTATCTTTGTTGCTAAAGGCCAAGGATAAAGGAAACGCACATTCAAATTTTCACTCTGCATTAAAGTTGGGGGACAACCTTTCAACTGCACAGGGTTGTTCTGAGAATCAAATGGGGGAGGAACAATGCATAAAGTATAATATAAGAAATTAAAAAGTATATTGTAGGTTGTTTCTGGTCAAGTGATTGTGTTAATTTATTCCAGATTCATGACACAAAAGAGATCTGAGGTGAGAGCTTGGATTGATGTGAATTATCATTCACAGAGTTATAAAATTGCCTTTTCACATGCAGAAATTTCTATCAGAGGAGGACTCTGTTTATGTTGTTAAGCTGGAACAGTTTTGTAGAGAACAAAAAAGAAAACTTAGCCTCCATTAATTTTTTTTCCTACAGAGCCTGCAAAAGAGCAATCAATTAGAACTGTAACACATCGTGACATGTGCACAGGCAAGTCTCAAGTGAATGTAACACTCTATTACAAAGACTTCGCATTAGAAAGATAAACAAGACTTGAGTCACTAGCACTACAATTTGACTCACACTGATTTAGAACTTTCAGTGTGGTCCATGAAACATTCTGCACAAGACAGCAACCGAAGTGTATAATCAACAAATCTGGCTGCGTCAGCCCTCCCAAAACAACTCTAAACTCTCTGTAGGCTAGGTGACAACAAGGACAACAATGACAGCAACAGCAACAACAATGTACTGTCAAGTCAGTTTTGACCTTCAGTGACTCTTTCCAATGTATTCTAGGTATAGAGTACTGTACTCAGAAGTGGTTTACCCTTCCCCTCTTCTGGGATCAAGTCTGAGACTGTGCAACTTGCCCAAGGCTACACAGGTTGGCTCTTCTAAACGTCTAACCACTGGCTCCATAGCCAGATACCTAACTCACTGAACTGTTCAGCCATAGCTTGTTGATAAACATACTCCAAAAACAGACACATTATAGAACAATTAACTTTTCTATAGCACTGTAAACTGTACCCAAACACCAGTTATATTTATAAGACCTAGTATACTAAAGTAGATTAACTCTAGACCTTATTTTTAATATAAAATAACAATAAATCAATAAAAACTGTATAGCGTGAAAGCAAATTACCTTGTAGTTCATTTTAACACCAACCACTGCTGTTTTGTTTTTATGCAATTAACAAACTATAAAAAGACCCCATAACTAGGAGCATAATCAAAACTACTTATAAATGATAATTGGTACTTAGTCCCACTGAGATGAAAATTCTTTCAATGATTAACTTAAATAAAAAGTTAAAATTAACATTGGAAGGCTCTGCTGGTCACCTTTTAAATTTATATGATAGAGATGATGTGAAAGAATTTCCTACCTTTGTCCAGCAGAAAAGGAAGCTGTGGTTACCAGTATAGGGTGATCATGGGTGATTTCCCACAGCAGGGGTTCCCTGCCTTGGGTAACCCCTGTTCTTGGACTACAATTCCCTGATGCCTTTGCCATCAGCTGTGCTGGCTAGGGTTTCTGGGAGTTGCAG